GACCCCCACCAAAGCAGCTGTGTACCCGCCCGGAGGGACAGTGAGAGCGCAGCACCCACCCACCCATCACCCCCCCCCCACCCTCACCCGTGGGCGGCGGGGGGAATTCTGGGAGTTGAAGTCCGCACATCTTAACGCTGCCAAGGTTGAGGAACACTGGTTTAAGGGCTGCATCCTGTAGGCCATCCTGGAAGTTCTAATTATGGTGTATCAAAAAGGCATTGGGTTCAGGAAGAAAAACAGGGCAGTCTTGAAGAGGAATTACACAGCCTGACTTCAGAAGTCTGGCATCAGGAAACTTGGCTTCGTTTCACAACTCCTGTGCAATTTTAGATTTTTTTTACTGAAGTTTTTTTTAAAAAAAATAACAATTAACAAGAAAGCATTGAACATGAAAGCAACATAAGGATTTAAAAAAAAAAACCTCATAAAACAGAATTAGTCTCCCGCCCCAATAAACATGGGGAGTTATATAGGGTATACCCCATCTCAGGAGCCATTGGCCAATCCCGGTATGTCTTTTTAATTAATTTTTTTTTTCCCAGAGAAAATGTTTCTGTGTGTGTGTCATGTCATGCATCAAACGTGTAAGGAATGGTTTAGAAGAAAATGGCAATCAATTCAAACATTTCACATAATTTATACAATAAATTGTCTATGGGGCCTGCTTATAGTACACCTGGTTTATAAGTACGTTTGTGCTTTTATGGAGCAAGACCACAGCTTTAGTATTTTACAATTCAGTAAAAATTGGGCAGGGAAAGTCTCCTTCGAGTTGAGCTCAGCTCCTGGCCCATGTCCATGTAGTTTTCTTGGCAGCAGGACAGTCATGCCACCTTCTAAAATTTTGGATTTCCCACTCAAGCCTGCAGCACGAGTGCTCTGTGGTCTCCCCTCCAAGATGTAACCAGGCGTAACCCTGGTTAGCTTCGGTGCCCGAATAAGGTCACTGAGACTAGTATTCAGCATTTGGATCCAGAAGTGCTTATGTGTGTGTGTGTGTGTGTGGAGATCAACTATTAGGAGTGAGTTTGCTGATATAATTAAAAATGAGACTTTTTTTTTAAAAAAAAACAATCATTAAAGAAAGCATTCTTCAAGACTTTTCTGCCCTGTTAATTTTTTCACTGATTAATTTTTCACTCCTAGATAGGCTGGGCAGTCTCTATAAATTGTGTTTACATGGACACACCTAGCTATCTGGAAAATCTGCTTCCAGCTCACCTGCCTGCGGGCTCAACTTGCTCATCTAGCAAGGCCCAACTGGGACCTTTCTCCCACCTGCCAGCAGTTCTCTGGAGTTACCATCCACCAGAAATATGCCTGGAGTCTGACTAATCAAAAGGTGCTAAAAATGTCATAGCCTTTGTGAAGCTAGTTTAAGTATTAATTCTTTGTGCAGACATTCATGTTTTCAGAGAAGATATGCTCAGCTTTGCAGTGTTTCGCTGCAGTGGATCTGGTGGCTGACCACCAGAACTAAATTAATTTCTTGCACCATTCTATGTGCCTGGTACAAAACCAAGGGATGGAGAAGGGAATTGCAAGTGTTTGAAATGGGAATAAAGTTTTAGGAAGAAGAGTAACTGTTAATTGCGTCTGTTCTGCCAAACAGCCATAAAGGAAGATGTTGTTATGACTTAAGTCCTGTTCTGGTGGTGGCCCCATTGTTGCCTTGGACCAGGAAGGGCTGGATTCAGTTTCTGGCTGTGGACCTTCACTGAGGATTTGAGTGGGTGGATTCCTGCCCTCGAGTCTTCCCAAGACAGTTGT